GAAGCAGATGGTCCTCTTGTCCTGATCCTGGTTCTGCTAAAGGTTTCTTCCTCATGAGGGAGTTTTTCTTTCCACTGTCGCCTTCATGCTTGTTCAAGATGAGAGTTCAGTGATGGAGTTAAACTCAAAGCTGCTCCTCAGATAAATAATGTTCAATTATTATTTTTATTTATGAATGTTTCTGTTCAGTCCCTGAGATTACTTCTGTTGTGACTTGGTGCTACATAAATAAACTGAATTAAATTGCCTCTTCATCATAAACGTGTCCCCAGACTTCTGTGGGAGAACCTCGAGCACCACCTGCCACGCTCCCCTGACGTCCAGCCCTCGCCTCGGCCTCGGATGAAATTTGCTTGCCTAATGCAGCGGCCCCAGAATAGCATCATGTGGACATTTTGACTGTTGCCTTCACCAAACTTGAGGCTCCGTCCGCAGCGCTCAGCCCGTCCATCTCCTTATTGAGTGACTGATTGGAGAAGGCAGAGTGGAGGAGGTGGGGGGTGGGGGGTAGCCAACACAGAGACCCTGCCTCATCTCTCAGACAGCCTCACCTCTGAGCCAATAGGGAGCCCGACTGGATCAGGTGTCACTATAACCGAAAGACATAATCTGGGTGGTGAGTTTGTAGGACCTTACAGCCTGTCTTGGCCAACAGGGTGCTCACTTCGTTCAGCTTTTCTGAGGTAAGGAGGAAACATAGGGGATCAGTGTGGGAATGCAGACAGGAAGCTCAGGTGGAATGTCCCCAGATTTAATCCTGATGCATGCTCAATAATCCAAGTAGATAAATCTAACAAGGTAGAGCCAGGTCCTCTGGAGAATACATCCAGAGGACCTGGCTCTACCTTGTTAGATCCCCAGATCTGACTTGAGTTAAGGCGTCTGAGCCTACGTGTTACAATCCCTGAGGGTTAAAGGTGTGCAGGAGCGACAGCTGATCAGGCTGGACTGGAGAAAAATTACAGTCCACCTTTTTTTAATCCCTGGGAACAAACGATTTGTCGAGCCAGACTCGTGTGATGTGTCTACATATCACCAAAATGAGCAACGCCATGGGATCTGATTAGTTCTCGGAGCTTTACCTAAACCTTCTTGCCTAAATAAGAGTTTCATACTTTTTAATGTTTTCTTGTTTGGGAGCAGCCATGCAGGAGCAGACTGTTGTTTTTCTTTTAGTTTGGTTTAAGCTCAGCTGCTTTAAAGCCTCTTCACATTAAATGAATGACCAGCACACCGGTGGCAATGAACTTTGTTGTTTTTTTGTTGTTCTGTCTGCGTTGCAACTCGTGCATAAAGAGAATGGTGTCGATATCCTTTGGCAAAGCTGTAAATTGGTCTGGGAGCCACGAACATTGAACCTCTCATAGCTCGAGGATAAGCACTTATCATTTTAAATCTGACCCAAATACCTCTGGCATGGACGTGAAGCAGACTTTCCAAATGTAAAGCGTTCTTTCCGTTTGTCTTCAGCATATAAACACGTTAAGTTCAGAATTCACTAAACGTAAAGACTGAATTAATGCAAGCCAGGCCTTAACCTTACGAGACGCCTTTAAGAGCGTATCTTAATTCCAGGGTACGGTGACAGTGGCCTGAGGAAGATGATTGAAGAAACCATGTGAGAGCCTCATAAGGGAATGAAGATGATAGGAGTCCACTGAAACTGGATCTGGGACCGGAGCAGCTGTCCTTCTAATGTTGAGAGACATCAGTGGAGGTCTCACTCTTATGAGTCGAATTAACAAAAACTAAAAGTCGTAAATCAGTTCAGTTGTCTCTGATCCAATCTGTGATAAGAATTAATCTTGAATAATTGAGGGCATGCGTTTTGGTCCATTTCATTATGATCATAAACGACGTGCATTTAAGTAAACATCTGCAGGACAGATGTTTCTGTAAGAATTAACGTATTCTAGAAGAAAAATACCAAAGAGCCCGTCCATGCAGATCAACAGGAAACTACTGGTGTTTTTTAGTCCCATCACCATCTTTATCTTTCTTTAACCAGTTGGTGTTTATTAATGTTTGGTCTCCAGCTCAGAGTCGGACTAATTATAAAGACAAGACATCTGAATGGGCCAGATTTTGTAACCTGCCACTAAAATATTTCCACTGATGTTACCTCATTCTTTTTAAATAAGTCCGCATTAAATTTAAGTAGTAATTTTTTTATTCGTGCAAGAGGGGAAGAAGAATGTGGGTGTCAGCAGGGTGGGGTTCGGGCAGCACATGTTCAAGACATCTGCAACTTAATCCTGAGCTATAAATAAAACACTTCTCGTCTTTATTTTAGACAGATTTTAACCGTCTCCCCTTCTCTCGCTTTGGTTTTTAGGTTCCAAAGTCCACTGCCATCATGTCTGACACCGAGGAAGTGTAAGTCAAATCACATTTATGAGTTCAGATCTTTCCATTGTGACAGAACCTTCGGCTCAGCTTCCTTTTCTTTGCCTTTCAAAAACGTGCTGTTCAGATTTGGTCATAATGCTGTTTCCATTCTCGTGCGCGGCGGTTGCTAACCAACGTTTCTCTGTCTGTTTTGCAGTGATCAGGGTAAGTAGCACCGGCCTCCATGTTCAGGTACAGTTGGGAGCTCCATGCTAAATCAGACTGCCGGAGCTGGAACTTGCCTAACGGGTTTTCCTTCCCTCAGAAAGTTTTTAGTTCTGCACAAATGTGTATGTTTTTGCAGGTTTGGCTTGACTGCTCCAGATTTGATCTGTGCATTGAGGCTCTCCCTTTGAGGGAAGCGCACGTTAGTCCTGCTGGCAGCAGCTCCGATGACAAGAAAACGTGAATTCAAATTGAATTTGTGCAAAAGAATCTCTCAAAATGTCACCTACCTGCTGGCAAAACCCACTGTAGTTCTGCATGTTCTGAGCAGTCCTTCTGAGCTGAACAGACTCTGATGAAAAACGTTGTTCCGCGAATCTAAACGCCAATTGAGGTTCTGCAAGAGCTTCTTCAGCCCAAACGGACTGCTCGGTGTCTGCTCAGCAAGGATCCCCAGCGTACCCACACGTTTACATTTGTGTTCAGCTCAAACGGGTACAAACGGGATCTTTTGATGATGTTCTTCTGCTTCTTTCTTTCCCGGGTGCACATGAAGAATACGATGGTAAGACTCAGCCGTCAAACTCTGAATATTAACTTCACGCCACCCGTACTAATTTGTCAGACATTCGCGATGGTCTCCAGGTGTACTTTTTGTGGCATGCTGAGTATACTAATATTATCTGGGGTCAAAGAGAAGAAACGTGATTTAATACAGTTTTATGTCACCACGTGGTGTTTTAGGGCCGGGATTGACAAGAACCAAACACCTTCCATCCACCAGTGACGATGTTCCTATTTCAGATGCTTGTTATCTTACTTGCTTTGGCGTTATCTGGTGGCATTTCCCTCCAAACTGCTCCATTCTGAACCTTCTCTGTTCTTACACCTTCACTCCCCTGTCCACTCACCCCATCCACCCTCTCCCTGCTTCTATTAACCCTCTCACCACCCTTCCTCCATCCTCCATCGCCAACTCGCTGAACGTTGTTTAGCCGTAGAAGAGGAGATAGTAGAAGAAGTAGAGGTGGCCCCTGAGGCGGCCCCTGAGCCAGAGCAAGAGCCAGAGCCAGAGCCTGAGCCAGAACCAGAGCCAGAACCAGTGGTAGAACCAGAGCCAGAGCCAGAGCCTGAGCCAGAGCCTGAGTCTGAAGGTATGTCGTAAGAAGGGGGTGGGGGCTGTTATATCATCCATAGCCAGGTGTCAGAAACTCTCCACTGACTAGAGTCAGCCAGACCGAAAGCTTTAAACATGTTCGTGATGCTAACGCTAACATTCTTTCACCTCCAGTCATCCCTTTTATACCCCTCGGAAACTGTGCCGGTCCGATGGCCTCCAACAGAAACACTGTGATGTAACTGATGTTAGAGAAAGATTTAGAAGTCTAAAAACCTGCCACACATTTTAGTAAGCCGTCCTAATTGACATTTTTCAAAAATATTTTCTCAATCAAAGCACAAAAAGGAAACTACACTATTTCCTTTTTTCCATCAGTCCATCCGACTAACGCCACTAAACCGTATACCCTCAAACTGATGACAAATATGCAAATAGAGCTGTTAATTTAAACTAAAGCATTTTTTTCTTTATTTTTAATCTTTAATTGTGTTTACCGTTTGACATGAAAAGCATTTCCAATATGGCACGCGCATATTTTTTTCATAAACATGTTTCGTACCCTATTACTTCTCAAATGTACGTCTTCTAGAAATGTTCAAACTTCCGATCTCTTACAAACTAATGGGATGCAAAACTTAAGTCGAAATAAGTCATACAGCTCGATACACACCCTTGTACTTACTGAGAATGTGCCTCGTGCTTAGCTGGTTTGTACCCAATTTGTACCCGGTACTTACCAGGTACAAACCAGGTAAGAATGAAGTCCCTGTAAATACATGGTACGTACTTGATACCTATAGGACCAGGATGTATAAAAACGACTGTTACCTCTGATTTACAGGGTACTTACAGAGTACTTACAGGGTATGTACCAGGTATATATCTGGTACTTACTGGGTACTTATCTTCCCTTTATGGTACATGGCAGGTGCATACCCTGCAAGTAACCTCACATTACACAATCATCTCATATTACGACTCGGTCCCTGTAGGTACCAGGTATGTATCAAATACTCACAGAGACCAGGCTGTATTGTGTATTACAACAAACATTTATTGTAATACTCTTTGAAACTGGAGTAATAAATGTTTGAATGTGAAACTGTGGATTTATTAGATGTCCTTTTAGCTTACAGGTGAAATTTGAATGTGCTCAACTTTGAGTTTGACTCTGCGTGCCTGCTAACATCCATTCTGCTTCCTGCATGCAGAGGCCATTGAAGACGAGAATACTGCTCGTTCCTTCAGCACCTCCTGGTTAACCTGAGCTGTATTATTCTGGTTACGGATGGATGATGATGTTCTAGTCTTTGGCTTGTATTCTGTCCTGTATTTTAGCAGTACCAGCCAGTTAGCACCGTCAGCTCAAATGTGTAAAAATGACCCAACCTAAAGTTATTTTTAAAGTGGTTAAAAAAACACCAAGTAACATGGTAGAGGAAAAAAGGGTGAAAGAATAAGAATGGCTAACACCTGCTTCCCCGTGCTCCACCCTTGCTACGCAGCTCATCGTGCGCATGGTCTGTAGGCGCCAGAGTCTGGTTTAACTGAAAAGGAAAAAGCTAAACGACTTTGTCATGCGTGTGTCCGATGGCTCTGGGGTCAAGCCAAAGAGACAATAAGATTTTACAGCAAACAGATTGACTTTGTGATTCTCACCATCTATTTAACCTTCTTTCTGTTCGGTTCGGTTATTAATTCATCTGTGGAAATGTGTTTTTTATTTTTCTTCTTTGACTGTTGTAACTATAATCAATCTTTCTTACCTGTCATATCAACAAAGTAAGAAATGAGGAAGAAAAAATAACGTTATTCTTCGAATCTCTTCTTTTTCTTTACCTGCAGAGGAGAAGCCAAAATTCAAGTGAGTGTCTTCAGTGTGATTTAAGATATTTTCATGTCAAGGATTTGGTCATAAAGATATTTAGTTGTAAAAAGTGAGATGAAAATTAACTCAAACATCTTGTCCTACAGGCCCACCGCTCCTAAGATCCCAGATGGTGAGAAAGTGGACTTTGATGTAAGTACACGTGGAAAACAAAGACATTTTCTAAAGGATTTCTGCTTCGCTGCTGTGTGGTTCTAGCTTCTTGTTCTTCTTTCACGCAGGACATCCAGAAGAAACGTCAGAACAAGGACCTGATGGAGCTGCAGGGTCTGATCGATGCTCACTTTGAGTGCAGAAAGAAGGAGGAAGAGGAGCTGATCGCACTCAAGGAGAGGATTGTGAGTTTGAGCCAAAAGCATGAGGGAATTCAAAACAACATTATGACTTATTTAGAGCTGGTTTAACAATCATTTTGGCAACTTTTACTGGATTAACACACAGCATTTAAAATACTTTGTACTATGTTCATTACCGGGTATCAAGGAGTTAGCCGGCGTGTGTCTTTAACAAACTTTAGGGTTCTTTTGGGCATTTATAAAACAAACTTGATTAGGTTTACAGTCAAGCCCGACCTATATGGAAATTTTGGCTGTCGCCAATACCGGTACTGGAAGGGAAAGACTAATGCCGATAACTGATATAATGGCTGGAAATTTCTGAGCTTTGTCCGCCCCCATGAATCTAAGAGAACAGCGAGTGGAGCGGGGCTTGTTTATTTAGCACAGCTGTTAGCAACCATGAAGCTAAGCTAATCATAGCCACGCTATGTTTACAAGTGGAGCACTGGTCATAAAAACAGTCTTACTAACGTGCGTTCACATTTTCTCGCCTCCACTATTCACCATCAAGTTTTCAAGTGTTTTACAACATTATAAATGCCCTTCCTGTTCATTGTTTAAACAGTCACGTACGGTGAAGGGCTAATTAGCATTGACCGCAGCGAAGTTTATTTTTCTTTGCAGAGAAGTAAAGATTTCAGACAAACAATGCATTTTATTGAGGACGACAAAGATAACGTCACTAACACTAAAATATTTTACCTCTATTAGATTTATTGTTCTGGATAAAGTTTTACAAGACAATAGCCTATGCTAGGTTATCTAAATGTCAGCTTGCTAATTTGAGAGGCACGTAGCTAATGCCAAGCGGTTTAGAGGATTGAATATAATTTATTAATGTTGATTTGTTTTACAGATCAGTTAAAACAAACTTACCGTGCTCCGTTCAGCAAATTACTCTACACAGTATTGCTTCCTGCTTCGGCTGTGCTGAAAGTGAAAGTGAAACTTAAGTGAACGGCCATGACTTGAAAGTAGTCTTCATGCGTCCTCTGCTGGATACATTGTACATTTACAGCTAGTTCCAACATTTTAGAGGAGAAAATTATATGCTTATATCAGCAAATAATAGGACAGTAATCACTGATACGATATGTTCCCAAACGTATATTTCTGCCTAAATTATCGGCCCTACCGATATATCGGTTGGGTTTTAGTTTACAGCTTTAAGAGCATTTTTAGTCTCTTTATTCTTGGAGTTAATGATGAAATCAGTGAGACTTGGTGTCATTTGCCGCCTGCAGGAGAAGCGTCGTGCAGAGAGGGCTGAGCAGCAGAGGATCCGTGCTGAGAAGGACAAGGAGCGCCAGACCAGACGTGAGGTTTGTTGTCTTAAAAGCTGTTTCAAAATATTTCTTACTTTGAAAAATGTTTTTTAAACCCAAATTTTCAACCCTAGTTTTGAGATTAAAGTGAAAAAATTTCTAAATTACAAGTGACAGAACGATGCCCTAGTGTCGAGAACAATAAAAAGAGTCTTTGAAGACTGGAAGTGGTGAACCCAGCTGTACCTGAACCAGACTGGATTTGTTCATTTGTTGTTATTTATGTTTACGCATGCACTTTTAAAAGGTTAACTGCAAAACACCCTGCAGTGTTTGACCAGTTCAAGGTGCATCAGAACTTACAGAATTGTATTTAGTCCTTCAAAATAAGAGTCTCAAACACACACTGAAAGTTGAAAAACTCCAGGTGTTCTCAGCGGTACGATCAGTTTTACTGAATACATTAATGCAAGATATTTCATTAACTTCAAATGTTTAGGTAGGTCAGCACTTATTTGAGACTCTTGTTGTGAAAGATCGAAGACAGTCATGTTTTTCTGAGATTTGTTTCTATTAATACATTTCTCTTTTGCAAAATTGAACCAAAAATAAAAGCTTCTTCCACCTCAATCAAGCAGCCTGAACGCTTCGACGTACATAACAAACTATGACTGTCGCTGTTTTCTCATTTATTCTTTAGTTATTGTTTTACTTTGGTCATTATCTTGGAGTTGTTGCCTTCGTCATTTTCTGTTCTGTGTTTTTTAAACTCACGCTTTATTTTTCCTTTAGCCGATACAAAACGGTTTTAAGTGTGCGGTGCAACGCTCTTTGATTCTTTTTCTTTTCTTCTGTGAACTCAGGAGGAAAGGCGGACCAAGGAAGAGGCAGACGCCAAGAAGAAAGCAGATGAAGATGCCAAGAAGAAGTCAGCTCTGTCCAGCATGGGCTCTAGCTACAGCAGCCACCTGCAGAGGGTCAGCACCTAACCCAGTCCATACCGGGTTGGTCCAGTCTGGGTCCACTTTGAACCTGCATCTGAACGTTTGTGTCTGATCGGAACAGGCTGACCAGAAGAGAGGTGGAAAGAAGGAGACTGAGAGAGAGAAGAAGAAGAAGATCCTGGCTGCCAGACGCAAGGCGCTCAACATCGACCATCTGAGTGAAGACAAGCTGAAGTACGGCTCGCTTCTGTTCCATGTGGCCTGAACTACCCAGCAGGTTTAACTTATCCAGGGTGTCTTTAGGAGACCCAGCTCAACTAACTCTATGAGAAATCTGGCTCAGTGGTCCTACAAAGTACGTTCACTCGAGCCTGGACTTCTGAGTTCATGTGAAGCAGGCGGAGCATTAGAGGACTCATCAGAGTAGAACAACTGGAAGGAAAGACGACAAAAACCATCAAACTCTAAATTAAATAAAGGCCCAGCAGTGGAGGAATACATATCACCCGCCACCTTCAAGCCAGAGCTTTAGGCTAAAGCTATCGTGCTAAGAAAGGCAGGAGGTCAAACCTTGAAAATAAGGACATGTATGAGGGGTGTCCAAAGTGCAGCCTGTGGGCCATTTTCAGCCCCCTGAGAGATTTTAGTGGCCTGAGACTGCAGTTCAGAAACAATCTCATTTCAAGGGTTTCCATGGCTCAGCCTCAGAGATGGGTTGAGGAGCTCCATCATCCGGGTGGAGCTTGGAGCAGAGCTGCTGCTCCTCCTCATTGAAAGGAGTCAGGTGAGGAGGTTCATCTGATCAGGATGCCTCCTGGACGCCTCCCTGTAGAGGTTTTCTAGGCGCGTCCTGCTGGTAGAAGAACGAGCTGAAAAGTGTCGCTGGGGAGAGGAAGGTCTGGCTTTCTCTCCTGGACCTGTTGCCTCCAGCTACAATTTGATTTGAAATGGAGTGCAAGGTATTTTCATCATGTGAAAAAGTTTGGACACTACTAGTAAAATAGACCGTGTTATGTCTCTTTAGCGATTAGCAAAAACAATAAAAGTCATCAAACTAACACACGCTCACTATAAAATTATCGTAAATCTCTCAACTCTCATTACTCCCTCCTGCTCTCGTTCTCTTATGCCACCCAACCTCCTTCATGGTTGCTGCTGTTCATGGAGACATGAGAGACTATATTCCATTTTTAACCTTTTTTAACCTCTTGTATCTATTAAAGTTGCTGATTAAAAGAAGTTATCGGGAACAAACTTCCCAGCGGTCGTCTTCTGTTTGTACTGAGGTGTCCCTCGCGAATTGTTTCTCAAAGTCAAAGCTAACGCTGGAGCTCGGAGAGAGGATAAATGAGCCGCTTGTCTTGTGGCTCAGGCCTCGGGACTTCTACATTTGTGTCCAAATGGATCCCAGCGCTCATCGCTTGAGATGTTTTACTCGTTCTTTTGTCCTCTACGATGTAGAAAAAAAACAAAAGAGGCGAAACATTTAACTCATCCCAGTAAATAGATTTAGGCCCGACAACTCAGAAATGCAAGAAAATCTTTCACTGAGTTTTAAATACGAATACTTTTTTTGTGTTTTTTGGGTCAGAATGCAAACGGACCAATCGTTTGTCTTGTTGCAGGGATAAGATCAACGAGCTCCACGAATGGATGCACCAGCTGGAGTCGGAGAAGTTCGACCACATGGAGAGACTGAAGCTGCAGAAGTACGAGGTGAGATGAGGCTTCGCACTCGTCACACGACGTCTTCACCTTCGACGTCCAGGTTTAATCAACATAAGAAGAATTCTTTTATTACACGTCAGGAAATCACGAGTCGCGTGATAAAAAGAAAAATCGTGTTTTACATTTAGTTTCTGTCAAGTTGATCTGCACAGAAATAAATGACAGCTCAGAGAAATAAGCACAATATTCTTTAAAAGACAATTAAACAAAAATATTAAATATTAAAATCCTGCATCGTCCC